CTATTCATCTATATATAAATCAAAGTACCAAAAATTAAGTATCTATTTTCCTTTTATAATACTTTTGATAATGTCTATCAATATAATAGCTTCTAATATGGTCAGGACATCTACTGCTTTTAGACTGAGAAGGTTTACCACAATTAGTACAAGGAAAGCATTTGATTGTATTTTTATGAAGCCAGCACCCTTTAGGATTCATACATGATCGACCACATATCTCTCCAGTATATAAAAGAAAATCACATATATATTTACCTAATTGCATTTTTTTATATATGCCTAATACATATTAATTTTCAAATTGAACAAAATATTTTATAAGTAACAGATAAGGAATTACGTACTAGCACCCATATACAAATTCATACTATTATTTTAATATGGTAGTACATACATGTAATAAATGTAGAAAAGATTTTTCTAAATTGCAAAACTTCGTATACATCTAGAACAAAAAAATCTATATAAACCTAGTAATACCTAAAATCCTATTGTAGCTCCAACACCATTACTACAAAATCCTGCTACAAATCAAATTCCAACTCAAACCTATGTTCTAGTAGGTGATTTAATCCAATTAGATGATACATTCTTATCACCTATTCAAAATATATCTTCAGACAATGTTTCTTCAAATCTACTCCAAAATGATATAGAATGGTTTGATAATATGGAAGAAAGCTATAATGCAAGCATTGATGAAAAATGGCCCAAATTAGCTGGAACCTTGCTCTATGACTATCCAAAAAGAAATATTATAACTGTAGAAGGCAATTTTGGTAGTAAACCAATAAGAAAAAATTATAAATTAACAAACAAAGAGTTAATATTCGAAGAATGCGAATCTAATTTTGATTCTTTAAGACCCCATCAGAACTTAACAACAATGAGTTTATGGCAAACAGTTATTCCATCTTCTAAAAACATAAAATATAGATTCAATCATTATGTTGAAAACCCTAATAAATATTTAGAAGCACCCTATATGCCTCAACTTATAGCAAATGCAAGAGAACAAATTACAAAAGTTCTTAAAGCCGAATTGCGTAAAAAAGATCAAATAAAAACTGCATTAATTGCTCAATGTATATATTTTGGTCATGTTAGCAAAGAGAAGGGCAAACTTAAAAGTCCATTAACTATAATTGCTTATCACAGAAGCCTCATGCATGTTATTCTTACAGAAGAAGATATTAATGAATATATAAATTTATCTATATCAGAAATAGATAATGCTATAGACTCATTTATGCAAGAAGGATCAGGAATGAATTTGGTAAGAATTGAAATGTTAACTATTGAAGCTTATACTTATCGAAGAACAACTGGTGGATCATATTTCTCGACTCCAAAAAAGCTCGCCAATACCAAATATACAATCAATTCTGATAATTCAAAAATAATTAATCCAGATACAGGTATGTTATCTGATAATTGTCTTCAAGGTGCATTAGCTTGTTATTTTGCTAATAAAGATGGACATACAGAACACCTTGAATGAATATATACAAAAAAGGATTATAAGCAATACTTGGATATAGTCAATTTAGATGGAATTCCTATGCCTACTCCAATTTGCCCACGTATTTTTAATAAAATTGAGGAGATGAACCCAGATATCTCTATTAATATCTAAGAATGGAAAGAAGAAACAGCTACTCCCAAAGTGGTAATAGCTAGCAAGAACTATAATAGACAACATATTATTGACCTTATAGCTCTTACAGATATTACTAAATCTAAAGATGATAAGTATGGACAAAGAAACCACTTTCTTTGGATTAAAAATTTAAATAGGCTAGTTTTCAAAGATACTACTTATTATGGTAAAAGATATATTTGTAAAAAATGTACTATAAGCTGGCCATCAAAAAAGTCTTTAGCCTATCATCAAAAGCACTGTTTTGGTTTAGCAGAAGCAACTCAAGAAATCAAATTATCTATCAAGGATGTTAATGACTTTGAGAAGTTTAAGAACTATGGACAGATGATCAATGCTCCATGTGTTATTATAGCTGACTTTGAGGCTGATAATAAGAAATGCAATGAGAAATATGGAGGGCAAATGTGAAAGCTTGCTGAACAAAAGGCCAATAGCTTTTGCTACTTGGTTCACTGGATCGATACTAGAAATGTATGGGGCCCATTCCTATATAGAGGAGAAAATGCTACTCAGGAGTTTGTCAAAAGAATTGATAAAGAGTTGGTCGAAATTAATAAAGTTTTAGCTATAAAACATAATCGAATTGAGACTGACAAAGACAAAAAGAAATTCAATGAAGCAGATAGTTGTTGGATATGCAAAGAAAAATTCATTATAGATGAAGATAAAGTCAAATGCTTAGAAAATAAGGCATCATGGCTTAATAATAAGCTAAAAAATATCTCAATAAATTCAGAAGATTATAAGACCTTAACAAAACAAATTGATAAGATAACTAAAGATATTAATCAAGAAAAGTCTATAGATATAAAGGTTTGAGATCACTGTCATATTACAGTTAAGTTCCGAGAAGCTGCTCACAATACATGTAATCTCAAACTTCAAATCGAAGCATGGAAAACTCCTATTCTAGTTGTCTTTCATAATTTTTGGGACTATGACTCTCACTTGGTTTGCGAATCTGTTGGAAAATTAGCTAATACAAATCAAATCAAGGTTGTAGCTAAGACATTTGAGCAATACAAGTCTATGAAAGTAGGCCAGCTTAAATATATAGATAGCATGCAGTTTATGAATAGTAGCTTAGCTAGTCTTACAAAAAATTTGAGTGATAATCATCCAATAACATCTAAGCATTTCAAAAAACTAGGCTATACAAAAGATCAATTAGATTTAGTATATCGAAAAGAAGTTTATCCCTATGATTATATAGATTCACAAGATAGGTTTTTAGAGACTGAGCTTCTACCAATTCATGAATTTAGTACATATCTTTATAGTAAAATTAGCCAAAAAGATTATGGGCATGCCCAAAAAGTATGGAAGGAATTTAACTGCAAGACTTTAGGTGAATACTATGATATATATCTTAAAACCAATGTGCTTAGTCTTGCTGATGTCTGGACACAGTTGCGAAAAATGTCTATAGAATATGATGGACTCGATCCTAGCCATTATGTTTCACTTCTAGCATATTCTTGGGATGCTATGCTTAAGATGACAGGAGTTAAAATCGAGCTCTTTACAGATATGGCTATGCATGATTTTATAGAAAAGGCTAAGCATGAAGGTATAGCTATGGCATGTAAATGATATTTCAAAGCTAACAATCCTAAGATAGATAAAGCATTTAACCCATCTAAACCAACAACATGGATTCTATATATAGATGCAACAAATCTTTATGGCTGGGCTATGAGTCAGTATTTGCCTATTGGAAATTATAAATAGGAGGTAAGTCGTAAATATCTTGAGGATAATCCAAATGAGCAAAAGAAATATCTTGAAAAAATTCTTAATATTAAAGCAGATGCAAAAAGAGAATATTTAGGCGCACTTCTTTCTAAAAACTCATGACTATTTGAGTGATTTACCTCCAGCTGTAAAAAACATGGTTGTAAGTAAAAATATATTGTGTCCCTATACTACAGAGCTTGTAGATAACTTAGATAGTGGATGTTTCTCAGCTACAGAAAAATTAGTACTCCATCTTGGGCCATAAGAAGATTATGTTATTCACTACTAAGAGCTTCAATACTATGTAAAATTAGGTATGATAGTAGATGAAGTTACAGAGATCTTATCATTCGATCAGGACAATTGGCTTGCCCTCTATATAGCTTTTAATACAGAAAAACATAATAAGGCCAAAAAAGCTAGAAATACATTTCTAAGTGACTTTTTCAAACTCAAAAATAATGCTGTATATGATAAAACTATGGAGAATGTTCGTAAGTATCAAGATGTTAAGCTCATGGCTATAAATAATAAGCAAGATGAAAAAAAATTTATTAATCAGATTCGTAAACCCTCATTTAAGTATGCTAGACAACTTGGTCCTTCACTTATAAGAATACATATAGGAAAAGCTAGTATAACTCTTAATAAACCTATTATTGTTGGAGCATCAGTCTTGGGTTTTAGCAAACTTCACATGTACTGCTTTTGGTATGGATATATAAAAGAAAGATATGGTGATAATGCTCAGCTTGGATATAAGGATACAGACTCATATTTATTTCAAGTTGAGACTGAGGATATCTATAAAGACATGGAAGAGCGACCTGATCTCTTTAACCTTAATGATGTTACAACTATTGGCAAATTTAAGGATGAAACTCCAGATAGTATAATTACAGAATCTTATCATATCCGGACTAAATCATATTACTATGTTTTAGCAGATAAGTCTACAAAGTTTAAGCATAAGGGGGTTAGTAAAAAAGGCATAAATGAAATAGCCATGAATTTATACATGCCAGCTTTAGAAGGGTCCTTGCTAGATGATCCGATAGATAGATCATTATTATTAGAGCAAGAAGCTATGCGAACTGAGGCAGATCCTATGACTCTAGTATATCGAGACTGTCTTTTTAGTAATAAAGTATTCAATGCTAAGAATGTAGGTATCCGATCAAAAGACTATATATTATCTTTAGTTGAATCAGAAAAGAAGGCTCTTTGCTCTATAGATACTAAGCATTGGATATTATCTAATAAAATAACTAGTTTGCCATATTGGCATTGGCGTATTCAAGCATATCCCTTAATCTGTAAGCTTTTCCAGGCAAATTTGCCTGGAAAATTGTTAAAAATATGCTTATGATCTATATTTT